CTAAAAAATAACTAAAAAAAACAGCTAACTTACACAATAAAAACATGATAAAATAATAAAAAACATGATTTTTGAAAATTAAAAAAAATTCTGTTATCTGTTTTTGCAAATAAACTTCATATATATATATATATATATATATATAGAATTGTATTTTAATTTGTATTTTTGTTTTTACATCAAAATTTACTGTAAAATTTAGTAAAACATCTTAGATATATATCTATAAATCTGTATCACTTTGAAAATGAAATACAAAAATAGTAATTTTACAATTAAATAAAATTGTTTTTATTACTCATTTTTTACAATATATTTATCTTTTCTAGAATATTACTTCATAAAATCTCAATATTATAATCAATAATCACAATAAAAATAAAATGAAAATTTTCATTTGACAGTGGTAGTGAATTGATCAATACGACTAATATGAAAGAGGTTTGAACTGTTTCTTGTAAAAAATTAAACCTAGTATGAAAAATCTAATTTTTCCTTTTTCTTCCAACCCTAAAAGGATTTTACACTCCAATTTTTTTGTTTTTTGATTATTGTTTTTTTTTTCCTTTTTATGTAGATGCCCTCCCCAACAAAATCATAACTCTAAATTAATTTTCCAAATAAAGCTATTTAAAGTCATCCGTTGCAGAAATATAAAATATCTAAATATCTATAATCTTAAAATCTATATTGATTAAATATTACAGCCCAATATCTCCAATATCATGTTTTGAGCATTTATTTGTGGTTGGGGCCACATTTGAACGAACTGAAGGATGCTTTGACATTATTGCTAATGGTAATCAACAGCATACCAAAGATTCCATCCACCATACTCGCTTGTAAATAACCCATAATATTCCTTTAAAACACACTGCTCCAGGGACGTCCACTCTTGGTTATCAGAAATAGTTCAAAGCAGCTGTGAGAAGAGCGCACAAGGGTCAAAACTGCAGTCCCACGGCCTGACCTCAGATAAACTAAGCATGAGAAAACAACAGCATGCATGACAGAACCAGTCATCTGAGCTAGTTATTAAAGTAGCATGCCAGGATACACCTGAATGCCTGAAGTGTTTATTTGTGCAATTTTTCCCAGAGGTTTTACACATGTCGGCCAACTGTCCTTGTTGTGTCAACCAGAGAAGGCCTTTGAATATAGTGTGTGGGAAGCATGTTTGCTTCTTGCTCTAAAGTCCACCGCGTATGACCTTGGCAGAGTTAGAAAGCGTACAGCATTCCTCCCTCTCGTTGGCCAGTGTTTTCTTTTATTCACTTCTTGAGCACATGTTAAGATTTGAAACGTTTGCAGCTCCACGTGAGCAGTGAGTGTTTCATACATGATCTCTCTCTTTCTGACATGTGTTTTCATTTGTCTCCCTCCCCCCGCGACCCTTCAGTTCTCTACCATTCAGCCCCTCATTTTCACTCCATCCCACACTTTCGCCCGAGAGCGGAGGGGCGCTACACCTCCCCCATCCCATCTTGCTCAATGCTGATGGACGGATAGTCACGGATGAGATCCAGCAGTGTTATGATCCATTAAGATCCACTTAAACACAATAAGATGTTGCAGGACTTATGGGTAAAGCAGAGATGTACTATTCATTTGTCATTGTCACCTACCTCAAATTTTGTGAGTGCAGGTCTCTTTTCTGTGTAACTTAGTTGTGTTTTCTAAGAGCTGTCAATTTAACAATTTGCCAATAACTAATTTAAAGTAATTAATTATTTACAGAGATGCGCCAATAACTTAATTCTGTCCAATGTCGATAAGCTATGGCCAATAAATTTGCAATAATAAAGTGTTATACTATTTTAAAGTTTTGCATCTTTAAAAAAAAAAAAAAAAAAAAAGACTTATTCAGCAAGGAAGCATTAAAATTAGCAAAAGTGACAGTAAAGACAGATTTCTATTTGAAATAAATGCTGTTCTTATGAACTTCATCAAAGAACTCTGGAAATAATGTATTGCAGTTTACACAAAACTATTAAGCAGCATAATGTTTTTTACCATTTTATTTTTTTCTGAAGGATCGTGTGAAACTGAAGACTGGAGTAATGATGCTGAAAAATTGGCTTTACATCTCAGAGATAAACTAAGTAAAATAAAGTAATATTTCACAATATCACTGTTTTTGCTGTAAATGACCAAATCCCACTTCTGAAAAATAAATAAAAATAAATTAATAAAATAATATTTTTTTAAAGTTTCAAAAAAAGAAAGAAAGTAAATTTAATCATCACATCATTATAATGTACTGATTGATTGATTGGGCAAAGATTGCAATTAATAGTTTTATTAAATTATTAATGGTTTTAAAATTAAGTGAGAGTCAGATTAATGTAAAAATCAACATAAATGATTGAATATCCATTACTGGCCAATATACATACATACAATATCGACCAATACTATAGTAATAATAAAAACACACATATATATATATATATATATATATATATATATATAGATATATATACACACACATATATACACACACACACACACACA